ATACTGAGAGTTAAGCTGAGCTTAAGCCAAATGCACAGGGTACAGATCCCACCTTGCGCCTTCCACGCTGCYGGCCTGAACCGGGCTGCGAAAACACGTGGGCTCTGCCTCCTGAGCCCAGACCCCAGCATCATGATACAGACCCAAACTGACCCAATTTTTTAGTTTTGCTAATCAAATCTTCATATACAACTCATGTTTTACACATTTCCTATCAGAATTTTAATTCATGATTACTTATTGTCAACTGAGCTGTTTTAAACCAGAACGGTAAGTCAGTTTTCTTTAATCTTTGCTCTTTTGCACTGATCTTCAAAAGACTAAAGTACAGCATGAAATAGACTTTACAGCATCTGCTTTAGGAGATGAAGGCAAGTGATAAATCACTTGCCTGGGAGGAGATAACGTTATTAATCAGTGTGGCTGGGGGGTGCAATGTTTTGAAGTTGCACTGGGTATTAAATAACAGGTGAAAGGAAAGAGACCTTTGCTTTTTTAAAACTTAAATCTAAGCTTGTTCTGTAAAATGAAGCTGCCACCCTATTAGTTGCACAAACCATTTTTCATGCAGAAACTAGTGTAAATTGTGGCCTTCAAATCAAAACCAGGACATGAAGACAGCTTTGCTTTTTTTTTTTAAAAAAAAAAAAGAAGTCTTTTAATAATAAAAAAATGGAATTTGGTCTTTTATGCAATTTGTGAAAGATTATTTGAAGGGGAAGAGCTGAATGCAACTCTGCCATTCTCTGAAACTCATGCCCAGTGGCACTTGCTGGTTAAATGCTCATTTTACTTTATATTCTTACATTCTCCTGTTCAGTTTAATTTGTTTCCCAGGGAAGCACCCCAGCACCCACACAGTTCCACACTGCAGTCGTTCATCACTAAGGCAGACAGGTCCCAGACTCAGGGCACTTACTGATGGCCCCACAAGGGGTTCGACCTGCAGAGCTCCTGAGCAGGAAAACTACAACTGAAGCAAGAGTTTGCATGTGTAAGATGCATGATTTATTTGTGAGCACACACTCAAGACAGAATGAACTCTGTCTTGCCCCTGCCACCCAGGGCCTCTGTCAAAAGCTTTTAATTTTGCTTTGTAGCACAACCTTTAGAACACAGGTAGGAGCCAGGTTTGAATTTCAGGGTAAGTGCTACAGCTTTTCGGAGAGAGGAGTTATGTTGGAGCCTGGGGAGGGAGCTTGCATTTCAACACAGACTTTCCCTTGTATTTTACTGTATGTTAAAACCTGGGCCGCATGGAAGACAGCAACCTTTGGAAGAGGACATCAGTAGTGCACGCAAAGCAAATCTCTACTGGGACTAGAAAAAGGGGGTCTTTAGACAGCTGAATCAGCTCTGCTGTAACAACTGTGGTTCAGACTAAGGTCCCTTTGCATGGAGGTGGAACCAGCTGCTTCCCATAAGCAGACTAGAAGAGCATGGGAACACGGATCCGACACCGCATCCCGCAACTATTCCTGCGGCTGGGCTGGTCCATGGTGCATGGGTTGTATTCTACCTGCAGGCCAGTTACAAGAGGAGTGTCACAGGGGTCCATAGGCACTTTAAAAGGACAAATGCAAAGTCTTGCACCAGAGGAGGAGGAACTCCATGCAATGTAGTGGGCTGGGGACCATCTGGGTGGAGAGCTGCTGTGCCCTGGGATCATGCTGCAAAGTCCCAACAGGACTTGAGGCTGTATAAGCAGAAAAACAGCCTGCACATAAAAGAAGTGACCATCTCCCCATACCGAACACTTCTGTGAGCACATCTAGACACCGTGACCAGTTTTGGTCTCCCTGAGACAACACATGCAATGTTAAATGGAGGTGTGATCAGAAAAGAAACCACCAAGATGGTCACGAAAGGCTGGGAGAAGAGAGCTGGTCCAGCCTGGGAAAGGTGAGGCTTTGGGGAGACCTAACAGCAGCCCCCAGGTCCTCCAAAGAGGTTATCAGGGAGACACAGCGAGGCTCCTCAGCAGCAGGAGGGCAGGAGAGAGCGGAAGGAGAGGCACAGACTGGAAAGGAGGAATCTTTTTTCCCCCACAATGACGACAGTCAAGCAGTGTAATAGATGCCTGGAGAGACTGTACAGTCTCCACTTTGGAGAAAATTCAGGGGGTTCTAAGGCCCAACCAGATAAAGCTCTGAGCAACCTCATCTGAGCTCGCTGCTGCCCTGCCTTTGAGCAGGAGCCTGGACTGCAGACCTCTCGTGGCCCCTCACCAACTTGGGCTATCCTGTGAGCCCGAATGAAGGAAGTTCCCAGCTACCACCAATCCACAGGGAATGCCCCTACTGTAGCACCCTCACCCCAGGAGTCAGCAGGAGAACATGAAGTTGAGCTGGGCTGCAATGAGAAAGAAAATCCGAAGCATTCAGTGGTTTCCTCCTCTCTTTTTTCCCCCCACTATCCATCAGCAACGAGTTACAGACTGCACACATTCCAGGATGAGCAGTCCCTGAATGAGAAAAACAAACAAATAAACATGAAAAAGATCTATTTTGACATCTTTATCCTTTCCTGTGGACAATATTATCCTCCTCACAACATATAACAGTAAATTTTAATCTAGAATTTTCTACCAGAAAACAGGACTCTGACTATACCCTTTCAAGATTATTCCAGCGTTTATACAATTTCACTGTCTAGCAACTTCCCAAAATACGGGCTGCTTGCTTCTGTTCTCAGTGTCATCCTAATGCAGTGCAATTGGGATTTGTCTCCATCCTATTCACACTGCTCAGAGAAACGGAGCACTTAGGGCATGTAGGCAATTAGATCATGGACTTTTAATGTTTCCTCAAATCCACTCTAACATCCTTTTTTGGATGCTTCGAGTTTGTGTTTCTTGTCATAATATCAAGCTGGATCTCCATTCCCAGGGAGGCACTGACTGCAGAAAAGCAGCTGCAGTCTGGTCGAATGTCTCTGCATACAAAACCCCCAAACTGCGTGTTTTCTTCTCAAGGTTACAGTGACAAGAACTACAGGATGTCTCGCCTGCCCTCTCTTCACCAGCCTGATCCCAAGTCTCTGACGTCAGTGGAAATAGTCCCATTTACTTGGAGGGCCTTGGATTTAGTCCCAAGTCTTAAAGAATAAAAGCAAGGAAAAATGAGACATTAGCTTCAAATGAAGTCGCTTGGAATTCCTGCCTTGAAGTGGGAAGAGAACAACTGTGAGAGTAGGCGGGATGGATTTTTAAATTAAAAAAAAAAAAAAAAGACAAGAAAAGAGTGTTTTAAATTTCTAAATGAAAAAAATGCTTTGGAAAATAGTCTGAGAAAATGTTTTACATTATTTACGCAGTCAGGGGAACATTCTACTCATTCAATGGAAAAAAACAAAAACCTGAATGTCACAGTATTTGCTTTGATGTTCTCTTCACAGACTGGAGTTTATTGCACCTTTGTGCAACACGCAACTTCTCAGCCTGCCTTCCAGTTAAAGAAAAACTAAACAGCATCATGTAAGTAAAATTGGTCCATTTGGATATTTCACAAATAGGAAGTGACAGGACACTGCAAAGCGTGGCTTTATTCTCATGGGCTGAAATGCAGCTCCTGACTCAATGCAACAGTTGTGCATAACTGAGCTACCTGAATGCTCCATGGGGGCAGTAAGAGGCTCTATGGGGGTCACGGTGCATGAACACACTCCAACAAGCCCCATGCAGCATGTAGGCAACCACAGAAAAGCCCCATTCCATGTGTTACCCCAACACTGTGTTCCTTGGCTGCTCTCCAGCTGGGTGCTTTCCTGTTAGTTAACTCACAGCCAGAAAGTTGCATGCTTAGAATTCACAGGTACAGTCCTCCAGGGCACAGGAGGTCTTATAACCACCCCACAGCACCCTCATAACCAAATGACTATTCTCAGGTCTGCTGGATCATGGAATCCACAGTTTTTTTCAGGATCAAGTTGTGGTTCATTTGCTCCGTGACTAACTTTTCTAAAATCAAAACAAATGTCCTAAAACCGACGTCGAGGGAAGGCCCTTTCCCCCTTTCCCCAGATGTTTCACTAATAGTGAAACATAGTCTAACACAGTTACACTATGACTAAGTGATAGGAAAAAGCTCCTTTTTCTGCTTTAATCTTCAAAATGGTTCAATTGGGAATGCTGAACCAAAAGAAAGTACTAAAGAACAGAAAGAAACGAAGTGAAGAGCACATCTTGCATTCCGTAACAACAAACTTAGGCTGCACGGCTTGCTCTGCAAATCCTACAGCAGCACTTCTCCTTAGCTCAGCCTGCCTAGCTCTTAAAAAACAACAACATGCAGAATGTGCTTCAGGCAGTGAAGGATATTAGCATTGTAATTCATGCCAGGATGTCCTCGGAGGGAAAAAGCTGTCTTGAAAGCTACCTAAGCCTTTGGGTCAGAAACTTCCTCAAATGTGTTTTGGCAACAACTGAGACATGAAGATTTCTGATGATTTTACAGTTCCCTGAAAAGAAATTGGGCAACTTAAAAAAAAAAATCGTATTGCTGCCAATTTCAAAACAGGATGTTTTTGTTATTGATGACTGTAATAGGGATTAATGACCTTGCAAATGTAAACAACCCTCCATTACCGCTTCTTGTCTAATTATTGCTGCAATTTTTCCCCTCTTCACAAACGATGCTGTATGAATAGTTTAGCACTCATCGTCAGGCAACGAGCAGACCAACCACAGAAATGGCAATATCACCAGCTGGCTGAGCCAACGTCACCAGATAGTTGAAAGAAAAATGCAAAGGAGGAAAATATTTAGAATGTGGCTAGTGCTTTAAAGTCAAGCTGTCTGTTTTCAGCACATAGGAAAAAAAAAAAAACAAGGGAGAAAGGACACCCCCTAGAAGAAGATACACTGCAGGTATATCTGATAATGAACCACAGCCAGGAGATAACCTTGTAAAGTGCCTCTACCCCAAAACAGAAAGAAGGAAAGCTCTGCAGTTTCCCAGCAGTTCACCTTGCAGTTAGAAACGCGCAGCCTGAAACCTCACCTTCTGATGCCCAAATTCACTCATTATCGTGCCCAGCTTCTTGGTGTTGCTGTGAAGCTTATGGGCAGCAATGGCCGGGTTGGGATCCCTCCAGTCGACGGAGAGGCGGTGATGCCAGAGGCGCGGGCCCTCCTGCACGTGCGCTGCCTTGATGCTGGGGTCGAAGCGGTGCACCTCGCAGCCCCCGTGCGCCAGGCTCGCCTCCAGCTGGCTGTCCTCGCTGCCCAGCCTGCAAAACAAAACAAACAAACAAACAAACGAGAACTCCTGGAGCTGCACAAAGTGCGGTAGGAGAAGCCGACTATCCCGAGGACTCACGGGGACAAGAGGGGGCAATTCGACCCGCTCGCTTGGGAAGCAAAGCGGAGGAATGCTGGGCTGCTTTTGAAACCATGCTATACTAGGATACACCATTAAGCCAGTGCTAAATGATTTCCATGGAGACATGCTGCTAAAGTAAAACAAATCTGCATGCTGAAAAAAAAAGAAGGTTTAGAAAAACATACAGTTTGGAAGCTAGGACAGTGCTATATTGTATCACCTATGAGAATAGCTTCCACTCAACAGCTTTCCTCTTCAGGCATCTTGGGAAAGGAAAAGGACACGGGGTATGCAAAAACAACGTGCCTACAAGAATGAATTCATTTCACAGGATTTCGGCCTGTGAAGTTGCACAGGATGAAAAGAGAGTGGTTTTTCTTTTCCTACACTCAGTGTGTACTAGGAAAGAAGTTCAGAAGCTAACGAAGTGAATGGAAACGTTTGCTTACATTTGCCATTCTATAGATGGGACACAGATGAATGAAGAGCAATACAATCCCTTTGGAATGGGAAGCTGGCTAAAAATGAACAAAATGCGGATTGTTTGGAACAATTAAGGCATTAGAGAGTGACATGTGGATACGTGCATGTGTGATTCCCTCTTAGCAGCTCTGGCCGATTTGTTCCAGAGGGCCAGGTGCTTTTGGCACAAACAAAACTCCCGCTGCCTGCAAGCAGATTTGTGCCCAAATCTGGCTGCAAAGAGACGCTCACAGTGGTGCAGAACAGGAAAGGATCCTTGAGGACAAGGAAGGTGCCGGTGTATCTGCTGCCTCCCTGGCCTACAGCTCACATTTACAATGGAAGAGAGAGTTAATCAACAACAGGTATCAATGAGAGAAAATAACATTCAAAAGCCCTGCAGGCCCATGTGTGACCATGCTAAGTGCTACACAGCATGAAAAACAAAAAAAAAAGTGAACAAATTTCTTCCCCGAGAAAGATTTTGCACTGCTTTAGAAGGACTGTGGTCTTAGCAGAAGCACGTTGAGGTCAGCAGAGACTAGGAAGGCCCTTCCCCACCAGTGGGGGAAAACAGCGGCTGTCCAGTAAGTGAAACACGAAGCAAGCAGGATGCTGACCTGTTTTTACGGCCGAGAAGATGCCCGACCGTGGCCACGCAGTGAAGAGCAGCGATGAGACGACGTGCAGCGAGGGGCCCTGCTGCCAGGCAAGGGCCCAGGACACAGGGCAGCAGTGCAGGGTGCCCCGACCCCGGGCTCTCCTCTGCTCGTGGCATGAGCTGAGCTGACCCGGGCATTGCGTCTGCCGAGCCCAGGCAAGTTCCATCTCCATGTGAGCAGGAACTTCTTCCCTGTGAGGGTGCCAGAGCCCTGGCACAGGCTGCCCAGGGAGGCTGTGGAGTCTCCTTCTCTGGAGATCTTCCCAACCCGCCTGGATGCCGCCCTGTGCCCCGCGCTCTGGGTGTCCCTGCTGGAGCAGGGGGTTGGACTGGATGGTCTCTAGAGGTCCCTGCCAACCTCAACCCTCCTGTGACTCGGTCTGTGAAGGTGCCCACTGCGTGGGGGCAGCTGCTGGACAGAGGGGCAGAACCGCCGGCACCCTGGAGCTGCTCGCTCTGTCTTGTGGTGTCTCTGCTTCCCTCCTGAAGGAAGGTAACGGAGCTCTGCAGCTGGGCAAAGGAAGCCTTCCCTGCCTGGACCCTAGGTCCTCCCAGAAGGTCTCTTATACACTCTTGCAGCAAACACTTAAAACCCCAGCCGCCAAGTTCCTGAAATCCTATTCATTTATATTATCCCAGCTTGGGCGCCTGCCCGTTGTGTTTGTTACAGACTTAGTTTAATCCGAGCAGATTTAGCCGTAATAACTGGAGCTCACTACAGCATGTTGCAAGTACGTGTCACGCTGGGAAGTCCTGTCCCCCCAGCAAAAACACCGCTCCCGCGCAGCAGGGGAAGCAACTAAAACTCATCTAAAAAACCCTCCAGAAAGCAGCAGTTTCAGGCACTGCTCACTCCCACTCCCTCGTGAGCTCTTCTGCAGCCCTCACGAAGGCAGAGCACAAGCGGTAGGTCTTGCTCAATTTTTAATGATGCATGGATTGAATTCAGGGTCCGCAGTGGCACTCGCGCTGAACTTTCACATTTGTCCTCCCTCCATCCTCCCCATGGAGGATGTTCCTCCCTGAAAGCAGCTGCTCTCCCTTTGCTCTTTATGAAGGGCACAGGATAACAGGAACATTTAAAGGGGATTTTTGTCTTAGTCGGAACAAAATTACTTTTCTGCCTGCTGTAAACTAAAGGAAGTCAGTCTGACAGAAGAATGAAGCAGTAATGAGCTCCAAAGGCAGCAAAAGGCATCTGAAGTCTTTAGAGGCTACTCTTCCTTAACCCCAAATATGTCTTTTCATTTTTTTTTTTTTTAGCTGTTTCATGAGCCACATCATTCCTGGATATTTAATGCACATGTGTGCGTGATCAGTGACTTTCCCATCAATTTCAATCTCTGCCAAGAACAGAAAATCTGGCATTTGGGCTCCCTGTACCATATGAAAAACAGCAGCACACACGAAGTACTGATGTGGTGTACAGTGACCAGCTGTGAGCAGCTCAAAAAGCA